TCGTCGTCGTCGTCCTCTTTGGCGTCGTCGTCGGTTCCGTCGTCGTTGTCGCCGTGGTCGTCATTCCTCCTCCCTCGACATCGTCGTCCGTCGTCGGCGTCTCGTCGTCGTCCCTCCTATTTCGTCGCCGTCGTCGTCGTCGTCGTCATCCCTCCACACTCGTCGTTGCGTCGTCGCCGTCCTCCCTCCTCCCTCGTCGTTGTCGTCGTTGTCGCCGTCGTCGTCCTCACTCCTCCCTCGTCGTCGTCGTCGTTTTCGTTGGCGGCGTCGTCGTCGTCGTCTTCGTCGTCGTCGTCGTCGGCGTCGTCGTCGTCGGCGTTGTCATCGTCGTCGTCGTCGTCGGCGTCGTCGTCGGTGTCGTCGTCGTCATTATCGTCGTCGTCCAAGTCGTTGGAGACGTCGCCGGTGTCGTCGTAGTCGGTGTCGGCGGCGTCGTCGTCGTTGTTGTCGCTGTCGTCATCGGCGTCGGTGTCGTTGCCATGTGCCATGTGGTACCCTCCTTCACGGTCTTAAGAGGTCTTGCGACCAAGTTGCGGGTGGGAGGGTGGGATGTTTGCACGATCAGTGGAGAGGACAGCTTCAAGACAGTCAGAGCGAATTGCACCACATACATTGCACCACGTATATTGTTCCACACAGATTGCCCAACACAGATTGCCCAAAGTAGATTGCAAACCACAAATGGCACGACATAGATTGCACTTCGACATCGGCCCAACACAGATGGCACATCATGGGTTCCCCTTCTAAAACATGGAAAAAATACTCTCTACCCCCCCCCCCGGGCTTAAAACCCCCCAGGGAACCGATGCAAACCACATAGGATTCTGACCCAATGTCCGTCCTACCTGTGAACTCATACAATCCCAACCAGGCCGGTATCGGCCCCCACCGCCATCCCCTGCGAAACATACTACGCGCGCGCACTCGATCATAAAAAGTCACGAGTTGTCCAGAATCCTTTTCGGAAAAAAAAAAAACACGCACACACACACACACACACACACGCACACACACACACACAAAGTGTACACACGCGCGCGTCGTCGCGCGCGCATGCCGAAATCCTTCAAAAACCTTTGGTTTCGGAGGGATGTCAAAATCGAGTGTCCAAACAACCTATAAAAACACATGGTTTCGCAACACGGGTTCTCGGCAAAAAACATGCGCGTTTTTGCGAATTCTGAAGAAACCAATAATTGTTCGATCGTACGTTCAACAAAGAATACTACCACACGGGCTTCGCGCGCGCGCATGTCGAAATCGTTCGACCGCCCATGCGCGCGTGCCGTCGCGAGAACGCCTTGCGAAACAAAAAGCGAAGCGCACGCTCGCGCGTCGTCGGCGCGCATGACGAAACCCTTCAAAAACGTTTGGTGTCGAAAAAAAACAAAATCGAACGTCCAAAAAAACATACAAACACAACGGGTTTCGCAACGCGGGGTTTCAACAAACGCGTGCGCGCGCTCTTGTTCATTCGTGAAGACACCATCGGTTTTTCAACATGTAGGTAACATGCTACCCAAACGGGCTTCGCGCGCGCATGTCGAAATCGTTCGAACGCCCTTGCGCGCGTGCTGGGGTGGCACAGTCCGTGTCAAAGAGTACAACGCGAGCCACTCTCGCGCATCTGCCGCGCGCGCATTTCGAATTCATTCCAAAACCTTCATCACCGACGCGAAGACGCCGTCACCGTCGTCGGCGCGATCGGCGTCGGCACCGTCACTGGCCGCGCCGTCGTCGCTGTCAGCATCGTCACCAACATCGCTACCAGCATCATCGTGTCTAGAATTGTCGACGTTGCCATGATACGGCGCCCGCCCAAGTCGCCGACTCGCACTCAAGTGCACGCCTGGATGCGCCGAGCGGTCAGCACCACCGCGCCCACGTCGGTCGCGCCAAACTACTTGGCCTCCGCGCGCGCGCATGCGCGGGCGGGCGCGGCCGCAGAGATGCACCAGCCGGCGCCAAGCACTCATCGCAATCGCCGCCGCATGAGGTCTGCAAACCAAGTTTCGGGTGGGTGGGTGGGATGTTTGCGCGAGCAGTGGAGTGGACAACTCACTGCGAACAGACATGAATTCTCCTCTCTAAAAAACACTCGACCCCCCTGGAAAGAACGATGCCCCCCCTGGGGCAATGCGATTTCATATATCTATATATATATATATATATATATATAGATTTCGCACACTCGCCCACGCGAAATATGCACTCATACTATCCCACCAAAGCCAGGATCACTACCACCCGCCATTCTCTGCAACAAAAACTATGCGCGCACTCTCGTTTATCAACAATCAAAAGTTTTCAAGAATCCCTTGCACAAGAACGGGGCAAAGTACACACGCGTGCGTCGTCGCGCGCGCATGCCGAAGTTCGTCAAGAACTTTCGGTTTCGGAAGAATTTCAAAATCGAGTTCCCAAAACACATACAACAACACATGGCTTCGCAACACGGATGTCCCAAAAAAACTTACGCGCGCGCTCTTGCGAAATCTAAAAAACCATCGGCGTTCAAGATTTTCCCAAAAGAATACTACCAAACGGGCTTCGCGCGCGCATGTCGAAATCTTTCGAACGCCCTTGCGCGCTTGCCATCAGGAGATTTCTTTGCAGAAACCGGACGAAGTGCAGACGCGCGCGTCGTCGTGCGCGCATGCCGAAATCCTTTAAAGACCTCCGGTTTTAGAAAGAATTCAAAATCGTGTGTCCTATATATATATATATATGCAAATACACAAGGTCTCGCAACATGGATTTTCAACAAAAGCGTGCGCGTGCGCTCTTGCGTCGTCGTCGTCGTCGCCATCCTCCCTCCTCCCTCGTCGTCGTCGTCTTCGTCGTCGTCGCCGTCGTCGTCCTCTGTCTTTCCTCGTCGTCGTCGTTGTCGTCTTGGCGTCGTCGTCGTTTCCGTCGTCGTTGTCGCCGTGGTCGTCCTTCCTCCCTCGTCATCTTCGTCGGCGTTTAGTTGTTGTCCCTCCTATTTCGTCGCCGTCGTCGTCTTCCCTCCTCCCTCGTCGTTGTCGTCGTCGCCGTCGTCGTCCCCCCTCCCCTCCCGTCGTCGCCGTCGTTTTCGTTGGCGACGTCGTCTTCGTCGTCTTCGTCGTCGCCGTCGTCGTCGTCGTCGTCATCGTCGCCGGCCTCGTCATCGTCGTCGTCGCCGGCGGCGGCGTCGTCGTCGTCGTCGGCGTTGCCATCGTCGTCGTCGTCAGCGTCGGCGTCGTCGTCGTCGTCAGTGTTGTCGTCGTCGTCTTCGTCGTCGTCGAAGTAGTTGGAGACATCGTCGGTGTCGTCGTCGTCGTTGTCGGCGGCGTCGTCGTCGTCGTTGTCGCTGTCGTCATCGGCGTCGGTGTCGTTGCAAAGTGCAATTTGGTACCCACCGTCACGGTCTTAAGAGGTCTTGCGACCACGTTGCGGGTGGGAGGGTGGGATGTTTGCACGAGTAGTGGAGAGGACAGCTTCAACTTGAGCAAGTGAATGAATTCACCTCTCTTTTTTTTTTTTTTAAAAAAAAAAAAAAAGACTCCCCCCCCCCCCGACTTATCGGTTCCCCCTTGGGATAATTTCATATATATATATATTCTGCACACTCGCCCATCCTAAATATAAAATCATACCATCCCAGCTAGGCCGGTTTCTCCCCCCTCCTGAGGTTCCCTTGTGAAAAAAAAACACTATGCGGTGACATTTTTGGTTCTAACATAGCATTTGTTCGCGAATCCCTTGCAAAAAAAAGACGAAGTGCGCACGCGCGCGTCGTCGCGCGCGCATGCCGAAATCCTTCAAAAACCTTCGGTGCCGGAAGGATTTCGCAATCGAGTTCCAACAAACATACAAAATTACATGGTTTCGCAACACTGATTTGCTAAAAAAACTTCCGCGCGAGCTCTTGCGAAATCTTAAGAAAACCATAGGTTTTTCAATATTTTCACAACATGCTACCGAACGGGCTTCGCGCGCGCACATGTCGAACGCCCTTGCGCGTGCGCCGTCGCGAGAATCCTCCGCCAAAAACCGGACGAAGTGCAGACGCGCGCGTCGTCGCGGGCGTATGCCGAAAACCTTCACAACCCATCGGTTTCGGAAGGATTTCAAAATCGTGCGTCCAAAAAACTTACAGAAACCCAAGGTTTCGCAACACGTATTTTCAACAAAAGCGTGCGCGCGCGCTCTTGCGTCGTTGTCGTCGTCGCCGTCCTCCCTCCTCCCTCGTCGTCGTCGTCGCCTACGTCGTCCTCTGTCTTTTCTCGTGTTCGTCGTCGTCGTCCTCTTTGGCGTCGTGGTCGTTTCCGTCGTCGTTGTCGCCGTGGTCGTCCTTCCTCCTCCTCCCACGTCGTCGTCGTCGTCGTCCGTCGTCGGCGTCTCGTCGTCGTCCCTCCTATCTATTTCGTCGCCGTCGTCGTCGTCGTTGTCGTCGTCTTCTTCTCTCCTCCCTCGTCGTTGTCGTCGTCGGCGTCACCGTCCTTCCTCCTTCGTCGTCGTTCGCGTCGTCGCCGTCCTCCCTCCTCCCTCGTCGTTGTCGTCGTTGTCGTCGTTGTCGCCGTCGTCGTCCTTCCTCCTCCCTCGTCGTCGCCTTCGTTGGCGTCGTCGTCGTCGTCGTCTTCGTCGTCGTCGGCGTCGTTGTCGTCGTCGAAGTCGTCGGAGACGTCGTCGGTGTCGTCCTAGTCGTTGTCGTCGGTGTCGTCGTGGTCGGTCTTGACAGGTTTTGCAAACCAAGTTGTGGGTGGGTGGGTGGGATTTTTGCGCGAGCAGTGGAGATGACGACTTCAAGTTCAGCAGAGTGGGTTCCACCACATAGATTGCACCGCATGGTTTGCACCACGTAAATTGTTCTACGTTGATTGCACAACAGATAATGCTAGCGACACTCTATTTGGGTTCCACGCTGGCTCACATGTTGACAGTCTGGGGCCCGTGAGGGCCCCAGGAAGCCGAAAACGGCGAATGACTGCCAGGACCCGTTTCCCTCAGGACCCGCTTGCTTCATGGCGAATCACCGTAATTCCGTGTGTTGAGCGTGACCCATGGGCAGGCCAGTTTGGTCGACATCTGGGCGGTCGTGGACGCCAGCACCGTCCCCTGCGGCAGCTGGCGCTCGACCCGCTGCTGCTGACCCCCGGCCTTCAGCAGCACAACGTGATAGCCGCTGCTCACCAGCTTTCTGGAAATGGTGCGCCCGGTCGTGCTCTCGCCGCCAACCAAGAGCACCACAGGCGCCTCGTCCGCTGTCTGGAAGTCCATCCACAGGCGCTGCTCAAAGCGCTCAAAGACCTCCCGGTCCAGATTCTTTTCTGGCCGCTTCTGCAGGGCGCTCAGCAAGTCCTTCACCGCCGTCCGGCGCTTCTTTCCGAACTGGAACGGCGGGGTGTTCCTTGCAAAGGCGATGAAGCTGGCGGTGAGGCCCGCGAGGCCGCCCAGCAGTGCCGCGCCTCCCTGCTCGGAGTTCTCTCCCGACGCACCGCCGTCGTCGGCCTGGTCTGCTGCGTCGCTCCCCTGCGCTGCCTCCGCGCCTCCTGGCGCTTTCCACTCCAGCACCTCCACCTCGATCTTGACGCGGCGCCCCGTGCGGGGCAGGCGGAACACGGCGCCCCTCCCACTCATGCCAGGGTACCGGTCGCCCTTCAGGAACGTCGTCCAGCCAGCCGGGACGCGCTTCAGGGCCTCGTCAACATCCGTGCCCTCGAGGGTCACGCTACTCGCCCATTTCACGGAGCTCATGCGCCGGGTCTGCTCCTCGGTGAGCAGCTTCATAGCCTGGAGCCCCTTCTCATCTACGAACTGGTTCGGGATGAAGGTAAGGTCTTCCCCAGCTAGGATGAAGTAGGCGCGCATCGATTCTGGCCAGGTCGGCAAGTCTGAATCGACGTCCGTGCACACGAACCGCCACCTCATCCTGGCGGCCCCGGAGGCAAAGTGCACGCTCAGCAGGAGCTTCGAGATCTCCAGGATGCTGCTGCGAATCAGGTTGCGGAACTCCTCCCCGCGCAGCTCGTCGGGCAGCCCTTCGACCACCCTTCGGAAGACGGGGGCTTCCTCGGCGCGCAAACCACTGGAGGCACGCAACCTCAGCTCCTCGACGCTCCGAGGGAACTTATCGAGCATGGCCTCCTCCACGCGGGGGTCTTGCATCATCGCGCGCAGCTCCTCATCATCGGGCAGGGGGCTGTCGAGCGGAGCCTTGCCAGTGAACCAGAGAGGCCCCTGTGGAGGCGGGCCTGGGCACCGGGGCTTCTTTAGAGCCCCGCAGCCTTCCCTGGGACAATGCACCAGGCAGCTGGACACACGCATGGATCGAAACGCGTGTGGAACATCCAGAGGCCACGCGATGAACACCGGACGCACGTGCTGAAGCTGGGCGGGCCTGGCCATGGCAGGGTCGAGCGCTGGAGAGGCGTCTGGCCAAATGTGCACCTTGCTCTCGCCCAGGCCAGGCGCTCACGTGTGTGTCTGGCTTGCCGGTCATGTTCTGGCACGCCCGATCTGGGCACGGGACGAAACGATAAAAGATGCCATACGGCAGGAAGCGTCCGAGACCGGCAGCGGCCGCTGTTGGGTTGACACCTTGTTGCACGTCCACGGCGACACCGAGAGCAAGTCCCGCTGAAATGGGCAAGAACTGCTGTTGGCCCACGTCCCCATCCTTTCCGCATCGACTTCGATCGTGCCGAATGCTCCCCGAGGGCATCCGGGAAAGCCCAAGAGCCCAGGAACACCTGTCGCTTCGGGGCCCCTCTGGCTTGTGGCGCGGAGCCTCCCAGGGCGGCTCGAGGGGATCAAGGTCCAGGGGGGCGTCCACCTCGCAGAGAAGATTGGGAGGAGAAGGGAGGAGAAGAGGAGAGGGAGGAGAAGGGGGAGGAAGGAAAGAGAGGGGAGGAGGAGGAAAGGGAGGAGAAAGAACGCCGAGGAGGGCGGAGGAGAAACGGGAGGAGGGAGATGAGAGAGAGGAGGGAGGAAGGAGAAGGCGAAAGGACTGGAGAAGACTGGAGGAGGAGGAGGAGGAGGATGACACAGGAGGAGGAATGAGAGAAAGGAGACAAGGGGTAAGAGGCGGAGGAAAAAGGGAGGAGGGAGGAGGGGGGTAGGCACGCGGAGGAGGAGAGACGAGGAGGGAAGGAGGAGAAGGCGACAGGAGGAGAGCAGGATGGAATATGTTCACGAGGGCGTCCACCTCGCCGCTGATGTCGAACGCGGGAACAGTGTCTATGACCTTCTGCCACGCCTGGGCGACCTTCTCGGAGGCCTCCCGCCTGCCGACGAGGCAGACGTTGATGTCGGGGTCGGCCATCGAGGCCTGGAGGAGGAGAGGAGGCTGGTTAGGATGTAACTCCTGGGAGGGCGTCGCAACAACGACTGAGGGATACTGTATCCGATTAGCGGGCCATGAAATCGGATTAACCTGGATTGCGCGCAGTACAAACTTCCAGAATACCCGAAACTGAGCGGGACTGTGCAGGACTGGGCAAGTGTTCGGCCACGGATGTACCAGCGCCGATTCTGAATTGAACCTCCCAGGAGTTGCACCCTAAGGAGGGGAGGAGATGAGGATGATGATGATGGCAAGGAGGAGGAGGAGGAGGAGGAGGAGGAGGAGGAGGAGGAGGAGGAGGGGGAGGGGGAGGAGGATGAGGAGGAGGAGAATAACGAGCGAGAGCAGGAGGAGGAGGAGGAGGAGACAGGCAAGCAGGAGACGGAGGGAAGGAAAGGAAAGGAAGAAAGGAGAAGCGGGGGAGGCCGAAGGGAAAACGGAGGGTGTAGAAGAAATAATGGAGAAACGGAAGAGGTGTAAAGGGAGAGCGTGGGAGGAGGAGGAATAGGGAGAAGGAAGGACACATGGGGGAGGAGCGCAGCCCAAAGGCATCGCGAGGATACATGGCCTGGACGCCAGTGCGTCTGGGCCCAACGCGTTAAAGCAATGGCGACGGCGTGGGCCCAATGACACTAGGACACTTGTCTAGTCGCGGGCCGAACGGGGCAAGGATGCAGGGACAGCATTGGTAAAGCGCTGCGCTAGAACAACGGAACAAAAGGGAACTATAGGGAGGACTGGCTCAGGTGGGGAGGGAATAGCTGAGTTGGAATCGGCGGTACGTCGCCGAAAAATCGGCGATAGGCCTTCGAGAGCGAAACCGCACATTCCTTGGACACTCAAGCCCCGAATGGGGACGAATGGGGGATTGGGGGACGATGTCTCCTCCGCTGGGCCATTCACACTCCCTGTTGCACTGCACTTGCGTGAAAGAAATGCTGCCAAATGGGGATACGTAACATTCCATCACCCGGGGAACCGAAACACATACGAAACTTCACCCTGCCCTATCCTGCATTCGTCTGCGCGTTGTAACTTGGATATTGTGGCAAAAGGTTGAAACGGATGGTTCTACAAAAATGTCGAACTATGTTCGCCTAAATAAAATTGGTCGGGGCACCCCAGGTCAAGTTCCCACAATTTCCATAACAACAGCGCCGTTTAAATTTCACCCCGCCGACTCGCCCGCGGGGCGCCTGTTTCCCGGGGCACCCGACGCGCTGCAAACGAGTCCACGCGTGCACTCCGATGGAAAAGCTGGCCGACTTGGCGACAGTCTCGCGTTCGGTTCCGCTGCCACTTTCTGCGAGCAGTCAGAAAATGCGCGAGGCTGTCGCCAAATTTGCGTCGAGGGGCCCCAGGAAAAAAGGGCACCGCCAAGGAGAGGCGGCGGAGAAGTCAGAATCGGCACAGTTGTCGAATTAGCTTCTGGCAACAAATAAAATGAACACATTCTGGCGGACTTTAGGTGAACGTCTTCGTGACTCTTGGAACCAATCATAACTCTAACATTTGTGAACCAATATCCACCCCCACCTCGTCCTCGCACCCCTTCCCCCACGCCCAGGGCCTTGCTCAGAACCAAACTACGGCCTGGCCCTCGTCCACATCGCATCTCTCGCATTCGTCATTTACCCTGCCGTGTTGCCGGGATTCCCACAACATGGCGCCTTCTGGGCGCGGCCCAGGCTTCCTGAGGAATTCCGCAGGGATTCCTGCAGGACCCCTGAGGGTTCCTGGAACTCCCTGGGAAGTCCCAGCCAAGGGTTCGCGAGGATGCCAGAAGAGGATTCCTGAGGACTCCTAGACATGATTCATTGTGTATTCCCGGGGATTCCAGTAACATCCAAGTGGATTCCTGAATACCCCCCAGAAATCAAAATAATTCTGGATGATTCTCGGCGGGCCCCTGCAGAATCCTTGGGGGCGTTGAATATATCCTGACGATCCAGGATAAGTCCCGGAAGGATTCTTGACGGACACCCAGAAAAAGAAAACCTTCGAATTCTGGAAGACCCCCAACAAGCTCATGGGAAGTCCTGCAGGTTCACTTTGTATTCCAGGGCGTTCCGTCGATGGGCCGCTGGAAGTATTTGTTTCAAAGAGCTGGCGGGGGAGGATGAGACCCGGCATTCGCTGCTCCTCGTGGAGAGCCCTCCGCGCTGCCACGACGCACGGGGCGTGGTCAGAGATGCCCGCGTGGAAAAACTCACTCGGGTCGGCCATGCCGCGCGAGTCCAATCGCTATTGATGCGCAACCCAAAACGGAGTCGTCTGCGATGATCGCTTCCCATCGCTGTGCTGCGCTGTGAGAGCGGGCGATGTTATAAGGGTCGGCGAACGAGACGTCGCGGCCCACCTGCTGGCAGCGGGGGTGCAGCGCGGGCCTGTCCCAGAAGCTGAAGTCAGCAAGGGCCCCGTCGCCGCGCGCCCAGGCGCATGCTGGCAGCTCGCGCAGTCGTTGCTCACGCGGTTGTCGCTTGCATTCACGTCCTGGTTCCTGAGTTCAAAGTGGAGGGCGCAGTGCGTTGCGATTCTGGCCCCCCCCAAGCGACTTTGGCCATTCCTGGACAGCATGAGGGTCGCCCTGCCAGGTACCAATGTTTCCATGCGCGTCCTGGCGTGGTTGTCCACCTCTGGCATGGGGATTGCTACTCACCCAGCGCTTAATGGCGGGGGAACAGAACATGTGTCACGTGGGCGGGACGCGCGCAAACTGCAACGCCTGCTAAGAGTGGTGTTCCGAGCCGCGTGCTTCCCGGAGTGCCCATGGCGCTGGCACTGGCGCATCACCTGCGCGAGGTCTTTCATCATCCTGTCGCGTCTGGCAGGGTCGTGGCGTAATAGGCGTCGACGGTTCCATGACGCGTCGCGTTCACGCGTGCGAAGCGGCCCCGGGCCATCCAAGACAGCCGCGTGGTGGACTTCTGCAGGCCTCGGAAATCGCGCGAAATCCCAGATCGCACAGGTGGCGATGAGGACGCCAATCGGCATGCTGGTATGCTGTCTTGGCCATGTTCTCGAAGAGTGCGTGCGCTCGCTGCTGGTCAAAGCGCATGCTGGAGCCCGCTGCGAGCTCTGCCGCCCCCACGTGGCTCCAGAACAGCAATGGTGCGTCAAACGGCTCTCGTCCGACCCAGGGAGTATTGAGACTCGAGATCTGGCCGCTGCATCTGTCCATGATCCAACTATTGCGCGGGAGGGCGTTCTTGATGTGCGAGAATATTTTCTCGGTGATGATCTCTCTCCGCTGCTGTATGGGGCCGCGGTCCAGGGTGATGTGGAGGGGCTGTTTGGCGCCGCCTGTCTGTGCTGCCACTGTGAACCGCGTCCATTGTCCATCTGGTTGTCTGAGCTTGGCGAACGCCTTTCGCACCTGTGGAGCTGCCGCTTCATGTCCGAAGATTTGCGGGCGGGATCTTCCGCGCGGGCCGTCGCCCGCGAACTTGTAATCTGAGTCGCCGGAGCCGTTCTCGTGGAGCCAGGGCGCCAGCGCGTTCTCGAAGGCTGCGCGCTCCGCCGGGCTGGGCGCGACGCAGAGGAGACTGGCGCCGGGTCCTCTGTCGCACTTGGCTGCGTCATCCGCGTCGGCCACTCCCACAATCCACTCGGCGGGGGCCAGCTCCTTCTGGGTGCTCTTGACGGTGGCTGCTTCCAAGGATTGGGGCGCATTTTGGCCGCGCGCCCCTCGATCTGCGGGGCAATCTGGACCTGCCCCTGGCCGTGGGCGCCAGCGGCGTCCGCGCTGACATCGGCGATGAGCTCTGCCATGGCCCAGCCTGCGTCCAGCTGCGCGGCCGCCATCCTTTCCAATTCGGCTCTGAGTGGCCCCGCGGAGTGGGCGGGCTGCAGCTGCGCGCCAGCGGGTCCTCCAGCGTCTTTGGGGGTGGCGAAGCCAGAGTCGTCTTGGCAAGGGCGGGCTCCGCGTTGCCAAGAGCCTTGGGTATGAACGGGGTCATTTCCATTTCGCTTGAGTGAGCGACGCTCCGACCTCCGCCTTTTCTCCGCGCGTCCTCGGGCCCCCGCCGCCGTCGACGGGCATATCAATCAAGGTCGGAATTTTCTGGAGCGATCGGCAGCGCGCACCTCGACCGACGCGGGGGCGCGGAGACCTATGGTCGCGGGCGCAATTGCAGGCGCGATATGAAACTCAGCCAAGGTAGCGCGCAAGTCGACCTTGGCTGCAAATTCTCGAAAGGCTCGCCGCGGACCAGCTGCCCTCACTCTGCCCCAACATGCCATGGGGGGAGGAGGGCGAGGAGGAGGAGAAGGGGAGGGGGAGGGGACTGAAGGGGGCTGGTGACGCAGGCCCGTCCAGTGGCCTCTGGCACCTAGCCGAGAGCCAAAGCCACCCGGGGCCGAGCTCCAATGAGCCCAGCAACAAGACGAACCGCGCCCGAAAAGAACCAAAACGGCCCCACGGGCCCGAGGCGGATCCATCCGCAGCGACGAGGAGGGCCCACGCCAGAACCAAGGCGAATCCGACGAGGCGACGAGAGTGAGCCCCGACCGCCGCCGAGCCGCGCACCCCCTCAGGCCTTATGCGCCTCCTGGGGGCGGCACTCCAAGTAGGTGTTGACGACCGCCTACGTCTCGAGGTAGTTGCAGAAGACCTAGAAGAGCGCCTCGAAGTCATGCTCGATGCCGAGGCGCTCGCAAAGCGTCTGGAAGCGAGCCCAGAACTCGCTCCCGTCGCGACCGATCGACGCCCTCGAGGTGCATGTCGGCCAGCGCCTGGAACTCCTCGTCCGTGGCGGGGCTGATATCACCCTCCTCCTCCTCCTGCTCCTCCTCCTGCTGCTTGTCGCCTGGCTGCTCGTCGGTCAGCTGCAGGGCCTGCGCGTCTACCCCCCCCCTGGAGCCTAGCAGCTCTTCCATACAAGAGACGTCCAAGCCTGAACAGGCCACGGAGCATTTCTCGCCCTTCTCGGCCCACCCCTCGTCGTCGTCGTCGGCGATGTCGAGCGCGTCTGGCATCGCGAGCT